TACATTTTCTAAAAATTACTCATATGTTTTGAGCATTTGTGTAATTACAATTAACACCCTTCATTAGTTTTTTTTTAATTAATAATTTTTAATTCGTTTTTAATTAAAAATAATAAATAAAAATTTGATTATCCATGTCATTAATCCACATCACCAATCTCACACTCCTCAAACTCACGTTATTTCTCTTCTTCTCTTTTTTGTCTCCAAATCCAAGAAAAGCTTTTAGATCATTTCTCCTCTTCTCTTTTTTTTTGTCTCCAAATCCAAGAAAAACTTTTAGATCTAATAATCTGCAACTAACTTGGGTACAACATTGACAGAGATCTTCAAATTGCAGGATTGGGCTGGATCTTCCAAGACCTCACAGCTACAACGCTTGCCATAGGGTCCCAAATCAAAAGCTTCGTCAGATCTACTCGCAACCACGCTCACGAAAAAAGTCATCAAAAATCAAAACCCAAAACAAAGAGATCTATGGAATTCTACATGATTCGTTACAGGTTTGAGTTGAAATCAAGAATAGCTACTCTTTTACTTTGATTTTACATGTCTCTCGTTTAATCTTCCTCTCAATCGATCTATTTGGAGACATTTCTACTTCTATCTATGTTTTGATTCATACGGTTTAGTCTTCCTCCTATGTATCCCTCAAACATATTTTTACGAATCTTAATTTGATTGTTGTTATTTGACCAATAAATTTCATATTGTCTTCTCCAAAAAAATGTTGCTTTCCGATCTGTATTATAAATCAGCCGTAAAGTGATGTAACTCAGTCGTAACGTGATGTAACTCAGCCGTAACATATAATTTACACAACCTTTCGTCTTCCCTGAATGATAACTCAGCCGTGACATGTAATTTACCGAACCTTTTGTCTTCCCTGAAGCATATAACTCACCCGTAACATATAATTTACACCCATCTATCGTCTTCCCTGGAGAATATAACTCAGCCGTGACATGTAAATTTACCAAACCTTTCGTCTTCCCTTAAACATATAACTCAGCCGTAATGTAATTTTACCGAACCTTTCCTCTTCCCTGGAACATATAACTCAGCTGTGACATGTAAATTGACCAAACTTTTTGTCTTTCCTTAAGCATATAACTCAGCCGTAATGTAATTTTACCGAACCTTTCGTCTTCCCTGGAACATATAACTCAGCCGTGACATGTAAATTGACTGAACCTTTCTTCTTCCCTTAAGCATATAACTCAGCCGTGACATGTAAATTTGCAGCAAAACAATAAGAGACGCAACATTTCCTCTAACTTTATCATCGAGCACCAACTTCATAATTTTTTCGTGCGTTGTTTTCGCATCTATCTGCACAACTCTACACCCTCTTTCATCGGTGTTAAATACGTATTTGTGTTTTTATACCCAATTACCGGAACCGGATCAACCATATCGGGAGAAGGATGAAAGAAATTGAAAAAGAATGAGGAAGACGATGAGGAATTGGAAGTTCCGGTGATGTGATAAACTCAGGTTAATAATTATTTAAAATTAATTTTAACAAATAATTATATATTCTTATCTATGAACAGAAAAGTCAGCCCCTCGCAAGTACAAAAGATCTTCTTAATTTCTTGGCCCTATTTTTTTGTCCTTTGATGATGATGACATGGAATGATGACATGGAATGTTGCATCCACGTCATTTTTTAATTGATGAAGTGGCAAGTAAGCCACCAAACGAAAATGTAAATCAGCTTAATTAAACCAGCCATCAAACAAAACTTTAACTCAGCCGCAACTTGAATACTATTACAGTAATTAAAAAACGAAAAAACGGCAGCCAAATTCAGCCGTTTACTGTCGTAACTCAACCAAAAATATTTAATTCAGTCGTGTCGTTTAATAAGTCGGCCGTCATTGCATGCTATTCTAGTAATTGATCTTTCGCTACTAAGTCAGCCATAATAAGGCCGAGTTTTCCGTTAATCCAGCTCATTAAGGCTGATTTATGATACTCGAACATAAATCAGCCGTAACGTCATCCCATAACTAAGCCGTCTTTGATAACTCAGCCAGCCGGAGAAAGTTAAGTCAGCCGTGTCGAAGCAATAACTCAGCCAAAAATTTGACAAATCAACCATCGGGTGAAAACTCAGCCGTAACTTAGGTTGGGTTATGCTCGAAAGTCAGCCATTTTATCATAACTCAGACAGATTTTAGTAAGTCAGCCGTAACTCAAGGCTGGGTTATACTCGTAAGTCAGCCGTTTGCTCATAACTCAGCCATGTTTCTTAAATCAGCCGCAACATACCGTAACTCAGCCGTCACTGCCGCTATATCGCTCGACGGCTGAGTTCATTAATACACGTCAGCGATTTCTGACGTGGCGACGTGGCTTTGCTGACGTGGCAGTGGCATTCTTTGTAATTACGTTTTTTCCTGTAACGTTTAACATGGGCATGCTGGGTATAAAAAATATACCCGAAATATGATAGTAATAAAAAAAAGATCTGTATGTTTCTGGTAATTTCATATAAAATGTATAACATCTGAGTAAATCTCCTATAATAAAATATGTATATTATTTAAATATTAGATGGGTACCTTAAATTTGGAAAAAC